TAATTAATGGTTTCTAATGTAGAGATGGTGGAAAGAAGTTGAGTTGGCGCATTTTCTTCTGGCTCTTCGTGGATGGATTAACCGGGTATTCCATTTTTCCTCCTTTTGTGCACGATATGGCATTTAGTGAAGTAGCACTTTTAATTTTTTTTTTTTTAATTTCTAGTAGGGTAGCATTTTTATTTTTATTTGTTTGGCCAATCCAACAGATTGTTAACTCGGGTAATTAGGTTTGATGAGAATAAACAAAAACAAAAAAAAAAAACTTAAGATGTATTATTTGTCGGTATTTAGATATAGAAAATTAAACATGGTTTGATTGTTTATTGTCTTCTCAGCCATCATTCAAGCCAACACCACTAAGAATTGAAAGTTTATACTTTTTGGATTAATTACTAGTACCGCTCTTTTCTATGACATGTTAATTTGTCATGGTTCAGGATTACTTAAAATTGAATTCTGTAACAGTTGAGGATTAATACTTAAAATCGAATTCTTGATATTGATTGATATTTTACACTCAAACACAAAACATAAAACCACGGCCAAAATGGCAGCTGCCTGTACTAGAGTGTTGAGGGCATTAGTGTCCGAATGTATTGCTTTGTGTTTTTGTGTTCAGGATGACCATTGCGTTGGGACTTTTTTGTTACGGCCTAGCAGACACCACTGCGACGTATGCAACAAACTTCCTTACCCTCATTCCTGTGGTCACCTTTCTCTTGTCCGTAATTCTAAGGTAGTCATGATCATCTCCTTAGTCTTTTGAACATCTTGTTTTTTTCATCTTATATCTGTGCTTTAAAAAAAAAAAAAATCTATTCCAACACATTCTAAATATAAATTGTTTGAATCTACTTCCAATTGAATTTTTCAGAGTGGAAAAATTGCAGCTACATACCATAGTTGGCAAGATGAAGACTTTGAGTGCAATACTGTGTCTTGTTGGCGCACTGGTTATTGCTTTGTATAAAGGGAAAGCCTTCCACATCATCCACAGCAGTAGGGAGCAACATATCGTAATGGAAAAGGTCAAGCCTCATAACTGGACTCGTGGAACCATATTTCTAATTGGCAGCTGCTTATCTAATGCTTTATGGTTCATATCATAGGTATTCACTGTCTTCAGTAGATTCTATGTTTCGTTCTTTATCTAAGTTGGGACTTGAAATTAGTTAGTATAGAAACTACATTGTATTTGTTTCACTTCTCTGCAACCTCACAAATAATAATAATTTGGTTCACATACCTGATTATTTCTTAAAATTGATGTTTGATAGGGAAAGTTATTCGAACTATATCCTTATAAGTTTTGGGCAACGTTTTATACTTGCACCATTGCCTCAGTGCAACAAGCAATTATAGGGTTGTGCATCGACAGATCCAAGGAAGCTTGGCAATTGGGATGGAATCTACAGTTGTTTACAATCTTTTTCTCGGTAATAATCTCAAGTTTTACTCCAAAATTCTCTCTTTTTAAATACAAATAATTTTTTCTCGGTAATAGTCGAGACTTTTACTCTAAAATTCTTTCTTTTTAAATATAAAAAAAAGTATGTCAATATGAATTAATTTGGTGTTAAAAGTTTGAATATGAAAAATAGTATGTCAATATCAATTAATTTGGTGTTAAAAATTTGAATATGAAAAAAATGATAGGTGTGGTATTAAAATCGATCATTTCAGGGAGTTTTGGCTACGGCTTTATCTTTTTGCGTGATTTCTTGGGCTGTAGCAGAACGAGGGCCTACTTATCCCGCGATGTTCACTCCACTGCGTCTGCTTTCTGTGACAATTGGAGAAGTTGTCTTCCTCAACGAAGCATTGAGTGTTGGAGGGTAAACATTGATTTATAGTATTGGAGCACATCTTTATTATTAATCGCATGTGAAAGTTTAACTTTTTTAGAATTAATTGGTAATTATTATTTTTGCAGCTTACTTGGTATGTGTTTTATGATCGTTGGTATATATTCTTTCCTATTGGCAAAGAATAAGGAGATGAAAATCAAGACAACAAATGCTGGATCAGAAAGTCAATCTGTAGAGCCTACACTTGAATCAATATAGACTAAAAGATGGACACCGTGCTTGCAAGCGGTGAGAAATTAAAATGATGCCCAAGCACAGTGAGAAATTAAAATGATGTCCAAAAGCGGTTCTTAAAAATGTATTTTATAATTTAATTTTTTTTTTGCATAATCAATGAAATTAAGTTGTTATATCTAAATACACAAAATCGATAGGGCACCAAAAGTTAGTCAAGTATAGATATATATTCTGTTGCATGGTTCTCAAATGTGTTACTAAACTGGGCTAATAAAAGGAAGGCCAATATTATAATAATATACCAAAACTTGGCTAATAAAAATAAGCAAAAAGATTTAGCTGATTAAATTTGCTCATTTTGTTTTTACATTCGCTTGAGAATTTTCATGATAGATGATACTTGGTCATCCAAACACCACCGTTGCCTACAATAAAAGAAAACAATCAGGAATAGTGGGGTTAATAAAAAAATCACTTGAATGATATTTATTTAATTAATTACAATATATAGATATGCATTATATATGTGGAGACCATGACTATAGGCATATAGTATTTGGAGTTATTAAAATTGTTACTGCACTGGTATAATTGAAATGGAAATATAATAATTACGCATATGCACTAAATTTTTATTAGCTCTAGGCTCCTATGGTGCTCTTTCTCGGTATTTTTTTTCTTTTTAAAGGGAGAAAAAGAGGAAGAGGAGGAGGATTTTGGTGAAATGATAAAATTGTCCCTATTAATTCGTATACATCTTATGTAGTGTTAATGATAAGATCTCGGTAGGTTGATTAAATATTGACACGAAAAAAAAAAGAAAAATTAGAATGGGTTAGATGAGTTTCTAAGTACAATTTGGTAATCTGCGGTGCACGTAATTTATTGCTATAATTCTTTAGTTCCCTTGAAAACTATTTTAGGGTATTCACTTGTACATTTACCAGAATTTAACTTGACACCGCAAAAGCTTAAACTAAACAATGAGTTCTATCGTGCTTGGCCATTAAAATTTGTGCTGATTCTTTTGCGTGATTGCTGTTGATAATTAGGTCCGATTCAACAACAGAAATGTAGCTCCTCTCTTTACAACGGGTCCAATTGGGAAAGGATAATGCCGTGGCCAGACATGGTACTCATGGCCTCTGAATACAATATTTGTCTAACATCTCGAGACCAAGCGAATACAATACGTGACTTTCTGAAATTAATTCTGGATTTGGTGTAATCTTGATTGCTGGAAATTGTTACTGGGGTTGGCTTGGTTTATGCTTATGCAGAATTTTCCCCCTTTTTTTTTTCTCCTTGAAAAAACAGTGCGCAAGTAGAATTTCTCAAAAGTAATAGTTGGATTAAAACATTTCAGCAATGGAAAATGGAAAAGAAAAAACATTTGTCTACACAGGTACTCTGATAACATGTTATGTCAGACTAGTACTACTATTTATTTCTACTTCACAATAGGAAATAAGGACTGATCCACAATTTGAAGGTCCACAATAAGAAGACATTTCTGTCGATGAACCCTTTCACGAGTACGTTGCTACTCTATTACTAGAGTTTGTAATTCCTATAGTATTCATGAATGACATAAAATCCCTCGGTTTTTACACCAAGACAAGTACTATCAGTTCATAAATTCACAAGTATGTTGGGCAGCATTACTGGAGATTATGATTCCTATCGATTCATGCACATATAACGTTCTGTGTTTCTACATTTATTGAGAATTTTACGTTAGTTCGATGATGCGAATGAGCAAGCTGGCCATGATGTTTACGTAGACTCTGTGAAGGTTCCATAAGGACCAGTGACACGTGCATGAGTTAAGAGGTTCAAAGAGTCCCTTCAAGCCTTAGTTCATGCCGTACAAGTTCAAGAAAAACCGTGCTCAAGCATTGAAGGAATTGACTTGGAGAATTCTTGCAAGCCTACCAAGATGTTGCTAACAATTGAAGATGCAAGTGATCAAGCTTCAATGTCGGATTGGACCTTAATAAATTAGCTTCAATGACTTGGAGCAATGTTTATTTTATTTTTTTGATAGAAAGCAAAACTTTCATTTATTAAACAACAGACTCCATGATTTTCGGTCTCTATTTTGTTGGTGATTCAGTTGCCTCATTTGCGCTGGAGTGTATTTGAGCTGTGCGTTGTTCAGTTTTATTAGTGCTTCTTTTCTGCTCATGGATTTTTCGTGTTCCTTCAAATTAGTGGCCTGAGTTTAGCTGTAGTTGTTGTTGCGCCTTGATTGCATCGGTACGATACGCGGCCGGCCGTTGTCGCGGCAAGTGCGCCTTGGTATAAGCTCCAAAATGTTGACACTAATGACTAGAAATAGTGTATTATTGCATTCGTTTCGTAGATTGATCGAGTCATGTATCTTCGTCTTCCTATGAACAATTAGATATGAGTTAATGTAAATTAGTGAGATCAGAGGAGTGTGAAAACTGCGGTAGATGAACGAATCAGGTATTATTTTTTCCATCTACTTAAAAAAAAGGGTTCCGGAAGTTAGTTTTTTTTTCCTCCAAAAATTTATTTAATTTAGAAAAATCTAAATAAGGGATATAATAATTGTAATTATATACGTCCGTGTATGAACGCTAGTTAGAATGATCTAAATTTTTTATAATCTCAAATTTTTTTTTTTCATTTTAAGGTATGGCTATCTAAGAAATGATCGTGCTTAAAAACACTGGAGTAAGGCTATATGGTTTTATTTTAAAAATTTCTGCGGTTAATTAAGTAGTATGCAGTTTGGGTCTTCGGGAGTTGGTAAAGAATAGCTTCGTTGCAAAATGTTGAATTTAAAAGGAGCAGGACATAGGCTAGCAAGTAGTATTAGACTATTAAAAGGGACAGGGGTATGTTTGGTGTCGGGTTAGGAGAAATAAAAGTATCTACATGGACCTTAAGTAGTGAGAGTTGACGGAGGGTCAACTACGGTAATTTCTGATCAAGCGAGGAGAATGGCTCCTGAGAGCCCATGTATCCTACCTTGTGCTGTTATACGCTTTCCTAAGTGTTGAACTTTAATACTTGCTACTTGCTTTATTTGACTGCATGTTTTGGGGCACCATTGAGCTTTAGCTCACCCCACGATATTTGTTTTCCTTAACAGGTTTTGGCATTCGGAAGTTTTGAAGTCTGCTTTTAGCTTTTGTAACTGTTGTGTTGAATCGACTATATATCTTTTATTTTGGGTTGCCACTTGAAGTTGGAAAAGTGTAAACTCTAATTCTGGTATCTGGTTTGTATGTATATATTTGCGTTGTATGAGTTTATATGTTTTTGTGATGGTATGACTTTACTCCTTGTAAATAACGCGTGAGGTATTTAAGAGTCGACGATTGGCTATCTTGAAGATGCTGTTATCTCTGAAGTTAATGTGGATTTCGTCATCAGCCTATTTGGAAGGAAACGGTGTTGCAATAGCTTAGGTTATTCTTCGGAAGGATTTGGACTAGATTGCTTGCGTGAGTCCTGGCGAGAGTTAGGCAGGCGACCCGCCAACCCTCTGGTTCGCCTTAGGGAGAAGTGGGGCCGCCACAATATTATTGACTATGCAAATAAGGAATGAAAATTCGGTGATTGAGGGTTCTACTCTGAGTTTTGAGGAGCAAAAGAGTCTTTCAAACTTTTGGCTTAAAAGATTTGCAATTGATACCAAGAATAATCAACTAAATTGTTGACCTTGGTCGATCAATCCTTGGTTTTGATGATTAACAAACCAAAATGTAGATTTGGGCTAATGTTTTTATGTGAGCAATTTGTTAGAACAGATTCTTGTGGCACAAAAGAAGAAGCAAAAACAGGACACTCATGTCGGACGTCCGAAAGGAAGCTATCGGACGTCCGAAAGGATGAAGAACATCAAGAAGGAAACTCTGTCGGACGCTCGTGAGGAAGCATCGGACGTCCGGAAGGATCGGACGCACGCCTCGGACGCACATCGATCGCTTCGGACGTCCGAGAAATTTCGCAAAGATTTGATGACTCTCTGACGACGTTCGGACGCAGGGTTCGGACGCAGGGTTCGGATGTCCGACAGGTGGTTTGGACACAGGGTTCGGACGTCCGACAGGCCAACGGCTAGTTTTGACAGCATTTAATATTTGACCGTTGGAGAGCCTTTTGGAGCCATTTCTCACCTTCTATAAACACCCCAAAGCACAAGAAGACACTAGACTTTTGCCAACACAAAATACAAGCTTACAAGTGAGATTTTTGAGTAGAAAGATTCTTTGTTGGTTGTATAAGGGGTTGGGGAAGTTGGGTTGTGAGGTTGCTCAAGTGAAGGTTATTCTCTAGGAGGAGTAAAACCTTGGTGAAGGTGAACCTATCACTTGAAGTGGTAAAACCTTGGTGAAGGTTGCCTCATTTGTATAAAATAGTTCTTAATTGGGTGAGTGATCTTTCAAGTGTAGGTTGTTGAGGGTTAACTAGAATTGTTGTAAAACTCCTTGGCTCAACCAAAGTGTGTTTGGGGTGAGGAAGGAGTGAGCCTTCACTTGTACATCTTGGTTAGCATCGCCATCAATTGAAGAGGCTATTGGTTTGATATTTGGTTTGCATTTCTTATCCTTTATCTTTAATTAAGTTTTCTTTATTGTGCTTAAATTTGATATATCTTTGTGCATCATTGTGAATTTGTTTGTACTCATTGGGTTGCACCGGGCACTTACATAAATTACTCAAATATCTCATTTTTAACTAAAAAGGTTGCAAAATTATATAAAATACAAAAAAAAAGGAACTTTAGGGTGCGTTTCATAAAAGTGAAGAATCTAAAATTTGAATTCATTAAATTATTGAATTGTTAAATATTAAATCAAATAAATTTGAATGTATATTACATTCATTAATAAGTAATTAGCTTATCACTTATTTTTGGAAACAAGTTTTGCCTAGGAAATTCAGTGCTAAATAATTAATTCAGATGTTTAATTTTTATTATCAAACGCATCTTAACATATTAAGATTTGAATCCATTAAATTTAAATGTTGAATTGGGTTAT